AATATTGATAGATTGTTGCAACCAATTAGGGGCACATGGAAGGAAAAAGGGGTGAGCATTGTTAGTGATGGTTGGAGTGATTCTCAAAGGAGGCCTTTAATTAATTTTATGGCAGTGAGTGAAAGTGGACCTATGTTCATTAAGGCAGTTGATTGTTCTGGAGAAACTAAAGACAAATATTTCATTGCAAATTTGATGAAAGAAGTGATTAATGAGGTTGGGGCAAGTAATGCGGCTCAAGTCATCACGGATAATGCTCCTAATTGTAAGGCAGCCGGACAACTCATTGAAGCTCAATTCCCTCATTCTATGGACTCATTGTGTGGTGCACACATTAAATCTAGCTTTGAAAATATTTTTGCTGCAAAGAATATTGAGAGGAATGAAGTCATATATGCAAAGTGTAGTTGGATTAGTGATATTGCTGGAGATGGTTTGATGGTTAAGAATTTTATCTCTAATCACTCGATGTGATTGGCTCTGTACAATGAATTTGTGCTGTTGAAGTTGCTTTTGGTTGCCGAAACAGGATTTGCCTACACAATTGTTATGTTCAAGAGGTTGAAGCTTATAAAATGTGGTTTTCAAGCAATGGTGATTAGTGACAAGTGAAATTGTTATAGAGAGGATGATGTTGGGAAGGCAAAATTTGTAAAAGAAAAGATTTTGGATGATGTGTGGTGGGACTATATTCATTATATTCTTTCCTTCACGGATCCTATATATGACATGCTTACGGCTTGTGACACGGACAAACATTGTCTTCACTTAGTATATGATATGTGGGACACAATGATAGAGAAAGTGAAGATGACAATATATAGGCATAAAGGGAAAAGACCAGATGAGGAATCTACATTTTACAATGTGGTGCATCAAATTCCCGTGGATCGTTGGAATAAGAACAATACTCCTCTCCATTGTATGGTTGCATTCATTGAATCCAAAGTAAGTACCACATTTAAATTTGTTTTAGATATTTTATTTTAATGGACTTATCTAGTCTTTCTTGAAATAATTAATTTTCCTATTTTGTATTGTAGGTACTATAGTGATAAGTGGCTCCATGAGGATCAAAATAGAGTTCCTCCACATAGGGATAAAGAGGTGACACATGAGAAGAACAAGTGTTTTAAGAGGTATTTTGAAGATATCACGGAACGAGCCAAGGTGATAACAGAGTTTGGAAAATTTTCGAGTTACGTCGACGCATTCTCAGAATATAATAGATGGCACATGGATCCTTATACTTGGTGGTGCGCATATGATGCATATGCACAAACTCTTCAAAAACTAGCTTTGAGACTATTTGTTCAACCCGCCTCTTCATTTTGTTGGGAAACAAATTGGAGTACTTACTGCTTTATTCACTCAATGAGAAGGAACAAAATGGTCCCTCAACGAGCGGAGAACTTGATGTTCATTCATAGCAATCTTCGTCTTTTATCAAGGAGGAGCTCCCACTACTTGCAAGGAGAGACAAAAATGTGGGACATTGCAGGAGGTAACTTTGACTCACTTGATTATATTGAAATGCTCGGGATAGCTAACCTCTCACTTGATGAACCGGCTATAGAGGCGGTCCTATTTACAGATGAAGGAGAAGATAGACGTGATGGTGAAGATGTTGTACTAGTTTCCTCTACTTACGTTTACATTTTCTGATATTTATGGATTTTTTAATAAATGATGGTTGTTGGTACAGTGGATAATTTTATATTTTGTGGTTTGGTTTTCATGCATTTTGTAACAAATGATGGTTGGTAGCTTGGAATGGCATGTTATGTATTGATGGAATGCAATTTTTATGTTATTTGTGAATGATATATATGATGTTAAATCAATGAAATGTGTTTTTTTTTTTTTTAATTTTAATAGTGTTATTTTGTATTTTTTATTACCTTTCTATGATTTTTTTTAATAATTTTATGACATATAATAAATAAATTTAATTATATATATTGAATGTGCCCCCAGTGTGTCGTGTCTCCTATTTTTTGAAAATTGTTGTGTCCGTGTTCGTGCTTCATAGGTCATGTTTCTCAAATTGAGTGTGAAGCCTGTCAATTTAGGAAGCATCACCGTAGTTCTTTTCCTATCAAGAGTGTTAGTCGTGTGTCTGAGTCTTTTGCTCTTATGCATACAGATATCTGGGATCCTTCTGGAACATCCACTGTTAAGGTTTTTTTTATTTTGTTATTTTTGTGGATGATTACTCTCGGATGACTTGGTTGTTTTTACTAAAACAGAGATTTGATTTGCCTTTTACTATCTCTAAGTTTTATAATGAAATCTTTTCTCAATTTGGGAAACGTATTAAGATATTTTGGTCTAATAATGCCTTAGAATATGTGCAGTCTATTGTGACTACCTCTGTGATGCTCGTGGTATTATTCATTAGACTAGTTGTTCTCATACATTTCCTCAAAATGGTGTTGCAGAGCGTAAACACCGTCATTTGTTAGATGTTGCTTGCACATTAATGTTTAATATGCATGTTCCCAAACAGTTTGGGGGCAATGTTATTCTCATCGCTTGTTTTCTTATTAACCGCATGCCTTCTAGTGTTGTATACACGTCTCCCTATTCTCAGTTATATCTCGTATCGTCTCATTTTCCCTTGCCACCTCGTATTTTTGGTTGTGTGGCCTTTGTCCATGTTCTTGACCCCGACTTAGATAAGTTATCTCCCTGTGCTCGGAAGTGTGTGTTCTTAGGCTACTCTCGTACTTTCTTTGTTTTTTGATATCATCCTGAGTCGCATCGATACTTTGTCAGTGCTGATGTCACCTTTTTTGCGTCTACTCCTTTTTTCTCCTCCTCTGGGCAACAATTATCTACTAATCTTCTCTCTTATCGTGAGGGGGAGCCAGCTTCTCTCACCCCTACTCTTCCGTCTTGTGTGCGTTCCTCTTCCACCTCTATATCCTCTCCCTTTAGTCTTCCCGTTACCCTTCCTTTGCAAGTTTATCAACGGTCTCAAGCTCGTTACATTGTATCTTATGGCCCGAACAGCTCATCTCCTTTGTCTGAGGTTCCTGACTCTCTTGTTCTATCTGCTGATGTGCCATCTGATGACCTTCCTATTGCCCTCTGCAAAGGTAAACGTACTTGCACTCAACATCCTGTTGCTAATTTTGTTTTCTATGACTGCCTCTCTCCTGGTCTGCACTCCATTGCTTGTAGCTTGTCTAGTATTCCCATTCCCTGCTCCTATCTATAGGCTATATCCATCTCCGGTTGGAAGCATGCAATGGATGAGGAAATGCATGCCCTTTATCAGAATCAAACATCGGAACTTAACCCTCTACCTTCTGGCAAATCTAATGTGGGTTGTTGTTCAAATTACACTGTTAAGTATCTTCCTGACGGGACTGTTGAGCGGTTTAAGGCTCGCCTGGTAGCCAAAGGCTACACACAAACCTATGGTGTTGATTACTTGGAGACTTTCTCTCCTGTGGCCCTTCTTAATTCTGTTTGGATTCTTCTCTCTGTTTCAATTAGTCAATCTTGGCCTTTGTACCAACTTGATATCACGAATACCTTTCTTCATGGCGATCTCCACGAGGGGGTCTATATGGATCAGTCCCCTGGCTATGTTGTTCCCGGTCATGAGCATCTTGTTTGTCGATTGAGGAAGGCCTTGTATGGTCTCAAGCAATCCCCTCATGCCGGGTTTGATCGTTTCAGTGCTGTTGTGCTTACCTATGGCTTTCGTCGTTCCATTTTTTATTACACTATCTTTGTTCGACACTCGTCTACTGGGAGTATTGTTCTTATTGTCTATGTCAATGACATAATCATTTCTGGGAGTGACTCCACTGATATTGCTGATTTGAAGCAGTATTTGGGCCAACAATTTCACACTAAAGACTTGGATCACCTTCGCTATTTTCTTGGGATTGAAGTTGCCCCCTCTTCTTAGGGTTTGTTTCTCTCCCAACGGAAGTATGTTCATGATCTCCTCATTGAGACTAACCTCTTAGGCGCGCGCCCTAGTGATACTCCCATGGACTCTAGTGTTAAATTTGATGGTGAAACCAGGGACTTGTTTCCTAATATTAGTCATTATTGTCAGTTGGTTGGGAAGTTAATCTATTTGACTGTCACTTGTACCGATATTACGCATGTCGTTGGTGTGGTTAGTCAGTTTATGCATGCTCCCCTCCAACCCCATTTTGCTGTTGTGTGTCGTATTTTGTAGTACTTAAAGAGTACCCCTGGTCGGGGTTTGTTATATCGCCCATCTTCCTCGTTATCTGTAACTGGCTTTAGTGGTGCTAATTAGGCTGGTAATAAGACTAACCGTCGTTTCACCTCAGGCTATTGTACCTTTGTTGGTGCTAATCTTGTTACTTCGCGGAGCAAGAAACAGCTTGTTGTTGCTCGTTCTAGTGCCGAGGCTGAATATCGTGCCATGGCTCATACTACTTCGAAGATGCTCTAGATTCAGTCTCTTCTTTGGGATTTTGATTTTTTTGTTCCCACTCCTATGAATGTCTTGTGATAATCAGGCTGCTATCTTTATTGCCAATAATCCCATGTTTCATGAACAAACCAAACATATCGAAGTTGATTGTCATTTTATCCATGATCTCTTACTCTGCAAGCAACTTGTGACTCCTTATGTTCATTCTGAAGATCAGTTAGGTGATATTCTCACTAAACCTTTGGCTCGATCTTCGTTTCATCGTTTATCCGTGAAGCTGGGCATGTTTGACCTCTATGCTCCAACTTGAGAGGGAATGTTAGAATAGTTATTTCTGGTTTATTTCTTTATTGTCCTTCTGTTAATGTTTACTTCAGTTGAGGGTATGATGGTCCTTTCATTATGTTAGGGTTTGTATATATATTTTACTGATGTGGAGTTAATATTCCAATTCCAGCTATATAAAAATCTCTCTTCTTCTTCTTCTTCTTCCTCTTAAACCCTTTAAACCCTAACTCTAAATTTCTTCATTATTCATTCTAACTTATATCATTCACAAATAACATAAAAATTGCATTCCATCAATACATAACATGTCATTCCAAACTACCAACCATAATTTGTTACAAAATGCATGAAAACCAAAGCACAAAATGTAAAATTATCCAATGTACCAACAACCTATTACAAAATCCATAAACATCAGAAAATGTAAACCTAAGTAGAGGAAACTAGTACAACATCTTCACCATCGCCTCCATCTTCTCCTTCATCTGTAAATAGGGCCACCTCTATAGTCGGTTCATTAGGTGAGAGGTTAGCTATCCCAAGCATTTCAATATCATCAAGTGAGTCAAAGTTATCTCTTGCAATGTCCCACATTTTTGTCTCTCCTTGCAAGTATTGGGAGCTCCTCCTTGATAAAGGACGAAGATTGCTATGAATGAACACCAAGTCCTCCGCTCATTGAGGGAGCATATAGTGAATAAAGGAGTAAGTACTCCAATTTGTCTCACAACAAGATGAAGAGGCAGGTTGCACAAATAGTCTCAAAGCTACTTTTTGAAGAGTTGGTGCATATGCACCATATGCACACCACCAAGTATAAGAATCCATGTGCCACCTACTATGAATGGAATCATATTTGAAAAATGCTTCAACATAACCCGAAAATTTTTCAAACTCTATTATCACCATGGTTTGCTACGTGATATCTTCAAAATACCTCTTAAAACACTTGTTCCTCTCACGTGTCACCTCTTCATCCCCATGTGAAGGAACTCTATTTTGATCATTATGGAGCCACTCATCACTATAGTACCTAAAATACAAAATGGGAAAAATAATTATTTCAAGAAAGACTAGATAAGTCCATTAAAATAAAATATCTAAAACAAAATTAAATGTGATACTTACTTTGGATTCAATGAATGTGTGATACAATAGAGAGGAGTATTATTCTTATTCCAACGATCCATGAGAATTTGATGCACCACATTGTAAAATGTAGATTTATATTCTACTCTTTTCCCTTCATGCCTATATATTGTCATCTTCACTTTCTCTATCATTGTGTCCCACATATCATATACCTAGTGAAGACAAGGCTTGTCCGTATCACAAGCCCTAACCCTGTCATATATAAGATCCGTGAAGGAAATAATATAATCAATGTAGTCCCACCACACATCATCCAAAATATTTTCTTTTACAAATTTTGTCTTCCCAACATCATCCTCTGTATAACAATTCCACTTGTCACTAATCACCATTGCTTGAAGACCACATTTTATAAACTTCAACCTCTTGAGCATAACAATTGTGGAGGCAAATCATGTTTTAGCAATTGAAACCAACTTCAACAGCACAAATTCGTTATATATAGCCAATCACATTGAGTGATTAGAGATAAAATTCTTAATCATCAAACCATCTCTGGCAATATCACTAATCCAACTATACTCTTCATATGTGACTTCATTCCTCTCAATATTATTTGCAGCACAAATATTTTTCAAAGCTAGATTTAATGTGCACCACACAAGGAATCCATAGAATATAAGGGAATTGAACTTCAATGAGTTGTCTAGTTGCCTTACAATTAGGAGCATTATCCGTGATGACTTGAACCACATTACTGGCCCCAACCTCATTATTCACTGATTTCATCAAATTTGCAATGAAATATTTGCCTTAGTTTCTCCAAAACAATCAACTGCCTTGATGAACATAGGCCCTCTTTCACTCACTCCCATAAAAGTAATCAAAGGCCTCCGTTGAGAATCACTCCAACCATCACTAACAATGATCACCCCTTTTTTCCTTTCCTGTGCCCCTAATTGATTGCAACAAACTATCAATTTTTGCCCTCTCCTTTTGAAATAATGTGGTTCTTAACAAATTATAACCGGGAGGCAAATATCCAAAAATATTATGATTTGCAGCAAATGAATAAGAGCTAACATAGCAGTCCCACTCCCACTCCCACTCCCACTCCCACTCCCACATGTTTTCCTCTTCTTTGATTTATAAGCATAACTACTACCCATTGATACACTAGGAGGAAATGGTACATTTTTGGGATGAGCATTTTTAATTCTTAGTTCAGTAGCATCATTCTCATTTTGCATTTGTGAAAGTTTTTGATTTGTAAGAGCATCTCCAATGGCAAATGCTATGATAGCATTGCCATTGTTATAATTTGGCAATCTACAGTACCAAATTGCCAAATTATAACAATAGTGCTCCAATAGTCACATGCCATTTTAGCAAACCTCAACCAACTTTCCCTCCAATTTTGTAGGTGATGTTTGGATATGGGTTTATGAGTATTTTTTATTGTTTATTTTTTTTGTCTTTTATGACCTTTTTAAAACTTTTTTTAATAAAAATTATATATTTACATTCTACCCGACTAGATAAATATAGAAAATTAAAAAATTGAAAAAAAAATACAAATATAATTCACCCCACCATTTAATGTCTTTTTTATTTTAATAAAATTGGCCTTCATTTGTAACTTTATTGCCTTCATTTTAATAACTTCGTATTTTTCATAATAACATTAAAAAATTATTTACATTCTACCGACTAGACAAAATATAAAAAAAAATTAAAATTTTAAAATATATATAATTCACCACACCATTTATATGCCACTACAAAATTTTTAAAAAATAATAATAATAATGCTTCAACCTTCACAACCACCCATTTTCTAACTTTGGATCACATCAACGGCTCACATTGGTGCCAACATTTTTTGTTTTTTATCAGACCACTCTCTCTCTCTCTTAATTTTTTTCATGCATCAACCCCAAAACCTTTTCTCTTTCTCATTTCTTCCCTCTCTAAATCTCCATCTTTTTTATCAGAACCTTCCCTCCAAAGCAACATCTCTCTCTCTCTCTCAATTACTCTCTCTTTGTCTCTCACCGGCGATAATCACTCCCTCGCCATCTTCATCACTACCAAGCTCTCGTCTCCCCTGTTTCTAGAATCAGCAACCACTAGAAACCACCACCGATCTCCAAACCCCAAATTTCTTCTCTAACGCCTATGTTCTAACCCTCTCCTCTCTCTCTCTCTCTCTCTCTCTCTCTCTCTCTCTCTCTCCGTTCTAACCTTCTTCTCCAACGATCCAAACCCTAACGAAAATAATCCAAACCTGAAACCCAAACAAAGAGGATCCAAATACAAAGACGAAGAAGATGAAGCCGAATCCCTAACGAAGACGATACAAACACGAAGATGAACAAGATGAAGCTAAAGCATCTTCAAATTCCACGTAATTTTTAGTATAAATTTGCTGAAATTAATTTTTTTTTTTTTTTTTTGCTTCAGATTGCTTCAAATTCCTGAAATTTTGATTGATTGATATCCCTGAAATTTCTAAAATTTGCCGAAATTCTTGAAATTTTGATTGATTGATATCCCTGAAATTTCTAAAATTTGCTGAAATTCCTGAAATTGGATTGACATTCTTTGAAATAAATATATCTTTTTTTGCCTAATTCTGAAATTTAGCTTTAGAATTTATTTTTTTGGTTGTTTTATTTTTTGGTGGATTTTGTTTTTGTTTTGGAAGTTTTTGCTGGGAAGGATGATGAGAAAGGGAGGAAACAGTTGGCTTTGGTGACTTTGGCACATTTGGTAGCTGTCAAAGCTAGTGCCAAATATGGCACAAGTTTTGGCATTTGCCAAATATAGCAGCTGTCAAAGCTTACCATTGGAGAACCTGTTTTGGCCCACACCTGCTATAAAATGGCTTTGGCAGCATTAATGGCAAACTATTGGAGATGCTCTAACTTTCTTACAAGCACCAATTTCCTTTCCTGGAGTTTTAACATGTGTGACCTTATTCTTGTTTCAGAATCAAAATCAAAATCATCATCTGGTATGTCATTAGAACTACCACCCGTAGTAGCCATTGTTTCAGAATTAAAAATTGGTTCCTATCATAAAATTAATAAACACATATCATTAAAACTAACAAAACTAATTAGCAAAAACAAAAACAAAAACAAAAAGTATATATATAATTAAATAACAGAGGCAAAGAGAGAAAAGAAAAAATAAAATAAAATCGAGGAAAACAAAAATAGAAGAGAGAGAGAGAGGTGTTACAATCAACATATAAAAGGGAGAAAAAAAAATAGTCGAATAGTAGAACAGAAGAGAGAGAGCGACTGAGAGAGAAGATTGAAGAATGAAGAACGAAGAAGATCGAAGTAGTATCTTAGATAACAACAAGATCAGCGACCAGTGACCAACGACGACCGACCACCAACGAGCAACAAGCTACGAGCTACGAATGACTAGCGACGACCAACCAGGTGTGCCCGATGAGCCTCTCTCAGTCCCTTCTCTTCTCTCTATTCGATATCTAGGTTAGAACTTACTCTGTTTGCTTTAATTTTTGTTTTTTACAAATTGACCCCCACTTGAAGTTTCGTAAATTATGATTCCGGCTACAAAAAATCAAAAAAAAAAAAAAAATGGACACCTTCTACAGCGTGTCGGACACGTGTCCACCGCGTGTTCCGATGCGTGTCCGTGTCCGACACATGTCCAACATTGATACGCAACCCTCAGAGAGGTGTCCGTGCTTCATAGCTTTCTTACAAGCACTAATTCCCTTTCCTGGGAGTTTTAACATGTGTGCCCTTACTCTTGTTTATGAACCTTTGAAAGTATTACTACAAAAATTACATTGTAATTGGTAATTTCCTCCTCCTTTCCCAGGTTTTGCTAATTTAGTTATATACTTCCACAATGGTTTGTTCTCATCAAAATCATCATCGAGTATGTCATTAGAACTACCACCCGTAGTAGCCATTGTTTCAGAATTAAAAATTGGTTCCTATAATAAAATTAATAAATTAACAAAACTAATTAGCAAATATATGTGTATAATTAAATAACAGAGGCAGAGAGAAGAAAAAATAAAATAAAATCAAAGAAAAAAAATAGGAGAGAGATAGAGACAGAGACAGAGAGAGGTGTTACAATCAGCATATAAAAACAATAATAATAATAAGAAAAGAAAAGTCGAATAGCAGATCAGAAGAGAGAGAGCGACTGAGAGAGAAGATTGAAGAAGAAGAAGATCGAAGTTGTATCTTAGATAACAGCAAGATAAGCGACCACTGACGACCGACCACCGACGACCAACCAGGTGTGCCTGACAAGCCTTTCTCTCAGTCTCTTCTCTTCTCTTCTCTTCTCTATGTTCAATATCTAGGTTAGAACTTGATCTGTTTGCTTTAATTTTTGTTTTTTACAAATTGACCCCTACTTAAAGTTTCATAAATTTTGATTTTCACCCTGAGGTGTCCCGAACGTGTCCATTACGTGTTTGGAAAAAAAAAAAAAAAGACACCTTCTACAGCATGTAGGACACGTGTCCACCGCATGTTCGTGTCCAACACGTGTCTGACATTGATACGCAGCCCTCGGAGAGGTGTCTGTGCTTCATAGGTTATCGGTCTAAACCACAAGGGGGTAAAATGTAATTAACCCAAAAATTCAAGATTCATATTCATAAGGTTGAGTCATTGTTCTATGCAAACCATCTTATGTACAATAACCATCTTGTTTCTCATGCAGGGGAAATGTTGAGGAAAAGATAAGAAACTAAGCATGATAGTGAGAGAGCTAGCCTATGATGTAATGCTAATATCACAAATTAACTTCTTTTTTTTTTTTTATTGCTATCATCGTCATTGTCACCTTCATCTTTAACTTCTGAATAGAGAAGTAATCATGGAAAAGCTAAGTTCCCAAATCTCTAAAAGAAATACGAAGATGTTGCCAATCCCCACAAAGGAAAAGGCATCATTTATGCATTAAATGCAAAAAACTGCTTTCCACACTGCAGTCCATCCATTGACTCAACTCTGTCATTTACAAACCAACACCAACACCCTCCCTCCCTCTTGGGGGCATTGGATCTCATACATTACAGGCATTACTTTCAGATTTGTAAAAAAAACATAGCCAAGAAGATTAATATTTTTATTTTGTGGCTATACACATACTTGAGCAATTTGTGTTTAATAAGTCTAACTAGATTTATTTATGTTAGTTTTTTAGAGTAATGGAAATTGAAAAGGGCTTGGACAATAATGCAGACAATTCCTACATTACGATATGAAACAGATATGAAGATATACCAAAATTTGAAAAAAGTAGGGTACAGATATGGCAGGGATATGTTCGTAAAAATATATATATATATATATTTTTATTTTAATAATGTAATATGCATGAAAATAAAACCTAAAGCAAATTAATAAATAAAGAGAGGGATTCCTATTAAGCTAAGAGTCTTCAAACATTCATAAAACTTCTAAAACTAAAAGCAAAAGCAAATTAAACATTCATCCCTACATGCCAACACCAAAAGAACATAAAAAAATAATAATAATAATGACTAGAGAGAACCTAGTTTTAAAAGAAAAATTAATAATATAAAATAAAATAATGAAACTTTATCATGAAAATTGCAATGAAACATTCAAACAAAGTAGGGGCAAAAAAAAAAGGTGTAATAAAAAATTAAATAAAGCAACCTAATAAATAAAGGGGAAAATAACAATAAAAAAGCAATGGCAACGTAATAGATAAGGAAAAAAAAATCAAGAAACATAAGAGAGAGAGGGAGAGAGACAGACAGAGGAACGAGAGCGAGAGACAGAGACACAGAAAGAGAAAACAAGAGTGAGAGAGAGAGAAACCTATTCAGTTGTTGTTGTAGTGGTCAATCGAGACAAAAGAAACTAGATTTTTACTTCAATGCTTCTTCGATTTGTGGATTTGAGGTTAGGGTTTTTCTTCTTTCTCACTCACCGTTTGATTTTTTTAACATTTTGGTTCATGCGTAAGTGGATTTGAAGGATCTGATTTGTATTATTTTCAATTTAACTTCTTTATTTACGGTTTGACACACAAAAAAGTTTTGAAAATTATGTTTTCTATCCCGCCGTATCCCAAAAGCATCTGCAACATATCTCTCACGTATCCATGCGTATCCAAGTCGTATCCGAAATTCAAAAAAATAAAAATAAAAATTTGGAATACTTTTTTGTCGTATCCGATACGTATCCCCGATGTATGTATCCATATCCGATACTCATACGCGGCCCATTTAGGAGTATCCGTGCTTCATAGTCTGGTAGACTGGATCCACAAAACTATAAGGGACAGCAAATAATGACATTTGAAACTATTCTTTCCGACAGTTTCTCATCTTATCAAAAGCACATGAATCTGGGTAGAGCTCTAAGTTTTTCATGTAGGCAACCAAAATGCCCATTGTTGTGCTAATAGGATAGCAAAATGCTCAAATCTATACTAGCGTAGTGTTATAACAGGTCTAAGAGAGTACATCCAAACCCTAGATTTTTAAACCCCACCTTATGCAAAAGGGTTGTCTAGCATCAATTACATGTCAAAACCCTAGCAACTACAGTTCTCCTCGTATGCATTCAAACTTCTAGGAACTGATCATAAATAATCCAATTATATGGAACTTGAACATCCAAAGAAAGAATAGACTATGATACAGAGTATATTTGATAACAGTGTTTTAAAAGGCTCTAGGCGCACCGAGGCGATAAGGTCTCCTATAGCCTAAGCGCGAGGCGAAGTGCGCGCCCCACCAAAGTGAAGTTCAAGTAGTAGAAGAAAAGCAAAATTATAAAATAGGTAAATTTTTCAACATAACAAATATATATATATAATATTTAAAAAATCATAACCATATTTAATAATCTCTAAACCTAACATTCAATCTTCTAAAAATTAGAAATATAATATCCAACAAAAGATATAAAGGCCTTGTTTGGTTTGTATTTGAGAAACATGTTTTGAGATAAAAAGTACAAAAATTTGTTTGGTTTGGTTTTTTTCAAAAGATATTTTGAAAAATTATTTTGAGAGAGAGTTTTGAAAAAAGTGATTGATTT